GACCCTCAAAGCCCAGGACAGATGTTCACTTTTGCCAGCATCTCTGGCAGAAGTTTCTGATCCCAGGGTGCTGCTGGAGGACCAGCCCGAGATTGTTCCCCAATCTGATTTGCCTGGAACAGAGTAAGGGAGCTCCCACAAGTACTCTGTTGGCTCTGCCATGGGCAGAGATGAACACATGGTGAGGCAATAACTAACCAGTCTAGCTGATTTTTGAGAATGTCTGTTTACTGCCTATCTTAAATCTACATGTTTGTTTTTACCAGTATAAATCTTCCTTGGATAGGCACTACCTTTGAGTCCAGCCTGACATACAGTTAACAGAATTGACTCCAGTGCTGATTTCAGCATGAGTTTACAGCAGTCCAGAGATTTGCATTGGTGGGCAACAGCATGATCTAGGACAGGAAGCACAATGAAAATGGAAGACTTAAAACTTTGATGCCCAAGATTAAATTTAGTTACCATTCTACCTCCTGCCAATGGTAATAGGTCTGGGTATCAAACAGCTATATGCAGGTGTTGTTTTTTCCACTGAGGAAAGGTATTTTCCATGTTTTGCTATCCAGCATTATTACCAATCTTACTCCCTCAAAATATACTTCTTTAGGATCACTTCTATTTACCTAAAATACATCAAGAGTTACAGAATTTTTGTATTTGATAGACACCCTACAGTATTCAAAACTGTTTGCAAAATATAATTTCAAAGTTTCCAAGAGTTCCTGTTTTAACAGCAATTTACATAGTTGTGATTCTGCCTGAGCAGAAATTACCTATCAGCAAACTTTCCTCAGTAGGGAACTTCTCAGTAAACGTACTCATTATCCTAAAATCCTATCAGCAAATGAAGAAACTTCTTTAACTGGGATAATCCAAGCTGCACAGTTTGGGAACCCCGAGGGCTTAAAATATACTTAAATATACAAACATATACACAATATAGGGAAGAAAAAAAAAGTTTGATTTTTTTCACTTGCCAGACTCGCACAATTAGTTTCACAAATTCCCCACGTTACTGAAAATCTTCCATGTTTTAATAAAAAAGAAATAAAAATTTTAATCTGTTTAAGAGAACATTTATAATACATGAATTAAATCTTTAAAGGATATGCTTCTAAAGAGTTGGAAGACTTAGTTACAAAATTTAAGGAGGAAAATGTAAGAAGTTTTCTTTAGAGAATGTAATGTGACTATTGACTTTCATCTTACCTGAAAGTAGACTGCAACTGCAAAACCGATGAGTTTACCTCAGGTTTCTTTCTGCAGATAAATCCCTCAGTTCCCAAACTGGCCATTTATCCCCATCATATTTATGTTTATTGTGTTCACCGTTTGCCAAGTCCCAACCTGACACAGCGAAAGCCACCACAATCAGCTGAACCGTTCTCACTACCCTATTGTAGGGAGTAACTGTAGCACAGCTCAACAAACTTATTCCTTGAGATTATTTCCTCTTTTATGATTGTTTTCAAAGGGACAATGTCATATTCAGAATTTAAATCCTTTTGCTGAAAATTAAACTGTGAGCAGTTTGGGCCTGCATTCTCAACAGGCTTTTTACACGAGTGTTTGTGAAGTTACTCAAACATTTAAACATCCATAGAAACTACTAAGAGTATGTAAGTGTTTCAGGATACAAGTGTGTGTTCTTTTTGCTCTGGGACTCAGACGGCAAATAATAAAGACAACTCAATCTGTTCCAACCTTTATCTTAAAAAACAAGCAAGCAACCAAACTCAGGAAAATTTACACGATCAGCTCTCCTTTCAGGTTACATTGACTATCCCAGCTTCCTTGCCAACACTTCAGCTGAACAAAACGTGTTACTCAAAATTCTTTAAAGCAAATGACATCCAAGCCAGAGACACCCAAGACATGCATTTCCTATCCTGATTCTGCATGTAGCTTGTTTTCCTTCTTCCTCTTTTTTTTTTAAGGCCAAAGCCAACCTTTAAGAATTACATTTCTGTATTCAAATGATTGCAATGACCTATCTTTACAGAATATTAGAACATAAAGAAACCGTTTCTGAAAGAACGGCAACTTACTATTGTCCTAATTTTTCCCAGATCTTTATGCTGATCTGTTAGAGAACCCACCTGAAGAGGGAACATAAGGCATGACTAATCATTGCTTGCATTTAACTGAGCTAATGTCAATTTTTAATATCGGAAATGAAGGCAAAAAGCAACGCAGTGAATCTGATAACTGGCTGCAGTGGAAATAATTTTGTTGCAAATTCTTACATTTTGATGGCTCCATGCAATATAAACAGACTCTATCCACTACAGCAGCCCCATCTTTGTTGGAAACAGAACTAGTCATATCATAAGCAAAATATTCATTTAAATATATTGCATTTAGATTTTTAATACATGGGATATCCACACTGAGAACCTTTAAAGATGGCTTAGAAGCACAACTGAGGGTACAAACTTTGTGTAAGTATCTTCCTCCCCCCTTACTTGGAGCAAAAGTTTTCAGTCATATAGGGGATAAAAACATTTCTTTCTTACCAACTTTTGTTTACGCATAAAAAAATTTAGGTTCATCCAGAATATATACTGTATGTTTCAATAACTTATTTTTTCAGTATGCAATAGCATCTTCAAAAAGATGACAAACAGCAATCATCTTGAAATGATCCTCTGAAAATAAATGTTACTTGTAGAAAAAGCAGGAATTGGAATGACATATGGGCCTATTAAGCTTAGAATTTGTGCAATTTTTTTTAAGTGACCTTTTGTATAATCAAAAAAGAATGCTACAAGATCATTGACTGAAAAATATTTTTGAAATATTAAAAAAATAAAATAGAAACAATGTATAATGTACAAATAAATGAAATCGTAAACAAGAGAGCTGCCTAGATGAAGGAAACTGGGTGTTCATAAAGATTCTATTCAATTTCCAAAAACCATTTTTGTCTAGCATACCTATATTCACAGCATGTTCTCAAATGCCAAGTCAGATTTAGTAACAAGAATATATAAAGAAACATAATTTGGACACACAAAACATGAAGATTAAGATAATTTTTTTTAACCAATGTTGTATCAATCACATTTGTAATTTTTCTTATAGCATGTGATCAAATAAACCAGAATGTATACATTGCTAATTTTTTAAGTAATGTTATGTACATTTTATTGCCAGTATATGCACAATGGTAAGCATAGAACTATAAATACACAATGTAATTAAACAGTAGAAAACAACAAGGATGTTACACGTAACAAAAGGAAAGAAAGAGGAGATACTATTTTCTTGATGTAGTTGCTAAAAAGGGTGAGCGATGAGTTATGACAGTCTTGGTTTTAAGTCTTTACACATATTTCTACAACTTTTCCTCCAAATAAATCTCTGCAATGGCATTGCTTCTTTAACAACCACATCTTAGCTCTTTCTATGCCATTCACTTCAAACTAAAGTGAAAACAACCTTTCATGTAACTACAACCATCTGACTTAATTTTTATTCAGTTTTGCTTTTCAGGGTTCCTAGCAAGTAAAGTGTGTAAGTAGTTTCTTATGATATCTGGCTGCGATGATGAAGAATAGAGCTTTGAATACACATTAAGTGACAATCTGGAAGAAGAAAAAACCAAATATTTTCTGTAGATAGTTCTTCTACCGGGTGCTATATGCAGCAGCTGAGTCAAAAATTAGTCACCCTGAAGAGGTAGAGAGAATTTTAGCCTAGCATAGATCATCATCCTTGGCACTGCTCTTTTCTCTCTTATCAGGATACACTTCCTACAACTAGACAACATCACAATCAAAAGGAAAAAAAGTCAGGAAAAAAAAAAGTTCCACTGTTCCTGGGAAGGGCACTGTTTCATCCCAGTTCTCAGCTAATTAGCTTACTGCTTATATCCAAGACAAAAAAAAAAAAAAAAAAAAGACAACATTTAGGGACACATTTACTTGATCTTTGTTCTCTTTCCATTATCAAGTTCATAAATACAAAGAACCATTATTCACAATAAAGTAACTCTTTTTCAAAAATGGAAAAACAAACCCTGGAAACATTTCCACACCTTAATCCAGATGGGTCTTGAGGATGCTATTCAAGAAAACCATGCAAATAATTTGGTGCAGCTTTCCCAACTCATCCAAAATATATATATTTTTTTTTTAAATTAAAAGGTGGCAAGATCCATAGCATTTGTGACTATTCCCCCTCCCTCCCCCTCATTTAAATTCAATGCAGAAAATCTTGGTGCTTTTAGGAAGGTAATGAATAAATAGTTTTCTGCACTGTTGTCATAAAATCCCATGTGAGTTACAATACAAGACTACTTGTTCCAGCAATTAGGTTGAGAGGAAACATTCTAGTGATAAAGATAAATACATACTGAGCATGCTTGGGCAGAGCACTCCATTCTGAAGCATCCTGCTTGAAGAACGAAAGGTGACAAGGATGGTTCACGTCCATCAAGTGACCATTAACTCTTCTGCTAAAAAGCAGACTGCCACACTATCACCAGGTCGGCAATGCTACCCTGAAAGGGCTGTCTTCCACACAAGGAGGTACTGGTTGTACCAGTCCTCTACTGCGCACACTAAATTCTTATTTATGCAACAAACATACAACCAATGAACAATATCACTTTTACAGAACTGGATCAATCCAGCTTTTTTTTTTATAGGCGTATTTCTCAATCTCCAGAATATTCCAAACAAGCTGTAAATAAGATGATGAACCACCAACACAGTGAACGAGTCTCACTCCAGTTCAGACTAGTTCTGCCTTGTTTCACATCACTTCTTGTTTCTAGCGAAGGACATGATACTCAAACAAAATAGCAATAAAAAAAGTAATGTTATCTGCAGCTGAATAAGAGCAACAGAATTTATATTTTAACTTCTGAAGCTTAAAGCATACCTTTTTAATTAGCATTAAAAAAAAATATTTTTTTTTATTTTTAATACAACAACACTGGCAAAAGTTAATGGGAACACACAGAGGATTGCGAACAGCATAACTGATGGATTAGATTATTTTTAAATTTTATTCTGCTTTGATCAACTGATGTTAATACTGTTTTTCCTTGGATTTGGAATAATTCTATTGCAACAGTCACATGCAGGCTGAGGACAGCCGTTGGTTAAAGAAAAAAAAAAAACAACAAAAAAACAAACCAAAAGAAAGGGAAAAAACCCAAGAAGAAAGTTCCAAAAGTTGTGTGTAAGAATTTTCCTTTCACTGAGGAGGGTCTTGCCCTTGCTTTAGGAGGCCTGGTTAACTCTTGTCAGCTTCATTAGCTTTGTCCAGACATATCTGCTGTTGTATCTCCTGGTCCAGAGCCTGTTTGTGCACGTTTGATGTAAAGGTTCAGTAATTTCATCTGCAAATTTAAACCAGAAGTTCACTCTGTTTAGTATTTGCTACTGTACAGACTACAGGAATGGTACAACAAAGGAGATGTTAAATCATTTTCTTTTCCCCAAAAGCAAAATTATATTTTGCACAGTTTATTCAAAGGTAACATACTTGCCAACAAAAACAAACATAGCAAAATTTGTCATAAGGAAACTGCTCAAGCTTCTTTAAGGATGTAAAGAAGAAAATGATCCAAGGTAGCTAGATTAAGATAGGTGGAATATTTTCCTCAAATTACAATGCTGTTCTAAATAAGGTAGGTCTTTTTATTTTTTTCTTTTTCTTTTAAGTTAACGTTGAGGTTTTAAGCTTCTAGCTAAGAGTTGTGGATGCTGGTTCTTACTAAAACTTCCAATACTGTCTAGAATCACATTCAATGCAATCACTGCCAGAGAGTATTTTTAAGATACAACTGTCTTATTGGAAGTTATAAAAAATTAATTGTCCTGTTTTATTCCCAAGGATAAAGAGATTCACAATTAACATACATCTGTTTGCATACAAAAAACCTCTATGTAAGACATGTCAATAAAATCATAAATATCCTGAACCAAAAAAGACCACAGACTGATAACTATTATTATTTCAAATTAGAGGTACTGAAAGGACTGATTAAAGCCCAATAACAAGGAGGAAGAATAAATAAAACTGCTGTATGTAACATCTACATATTACATTTATTGCTTTCCAATCAGACCTTGCATGAAAAACAAGACAAGAAATACTGATAGTGAAAGCCACACTAGGGATACAATCAGTAACAAAATCCATTAAACAGCAGTAAGAAACATAATTTAGTATTTATCTTAATGCTAAAGTTCATACACTTGCATAATAAAGATCTATGGATTTTCAGTTTTGAACATATTGTGACAAAGTTATATTAATCCTTAGAGGGTTTCGGTAGCCCTGATATTCTCGTTCAAGTATACACTTTTATGAAACTTTCTGGCAATTGCAACCAAAATGCAAACGCATACACGCAATTATGAACCAAGATTTCTTTGAGTGGTATCTCTTTTACTTACTTTACTGCCAGTGAGTTGACTGAGATGTGGTTTTAGTTCATCACCAATTACTGCATGAATGGCTACAAGGCAGAAAACACATGCCTTACGAACACTGCTCTCTGAATTATCATAACCCTAGAAAGCAATAAAATTAACATTAATACCTTATCAGTTAATGATTAAAAGCCTCAGAAAGCTATTTACTTATTTACTATAATAAATACATTGAAGTCTACAGTAAATGACTGCTAGTGTAGCCCAATGAAGCATTCCAACAAAAACCCAAACACGCAAATACAGAGCATGCGCTTAGAAAGCAGGCTGCTTATTAATCACACATTGATAATAATTCTCCAGACTGAAATTAAAACCCACACAATCCTGTTCATAAGTTCCACTGAAAATAGAGCTGCTGTCATGCAGTAGGGGAGTACATAAGAGAAATTGTTTTGAGACCATAGATGTTTACTCAAGCAGAAGACCACTCCATTTAGAGCTTGTTACTCTGAAAGAACTATTCTTGTAACAGCTGAAGATTCTTTTGCTGACTCCCATCTTGTTCCTTAATGATTTTTGTTTCTTTTGCCACTTTCCTAGTACTCCACATGACTGGCTGTCTCACACCCCCTTCTCAGTGGGCCCCTTCTCTGCCTCTACCTTCCTGCAGACGTATGATTAGATCACACCCATTAAAGACAGAAATCTGCAGAATACAGCTGTCAAACTCTGGAAAGTTCTTATCCATCACATGCAAATTAATGTATCTTGGCCCTTGATAAGGTGAGAAAGAACTTAATTTTAAAGACAAACTTCTGATATCCTTCTTGTTTTATTAAACTTCCCCCAATCAACTACTACTTTCCTCTTGCCTCCCCAAAACTCCAAGTAATAAAACCCTATAATTATACACAAATGCAACATGGACAATTTCAGACCAAATGATTACAACTTGGAAAAAGAAACAAACAACAAAAAACTATTTTATAACTAAAATGTATCGACCAAGCTTAACTATAACCAGTACTTTATATGCTACTGACATCTCCTTTGAGTCCTAATCACAGTCGTAATTTAGCTACCTGCCAATCAAACAGTTTGTTCCCATTATCTGAGTTATTTTGGGTCAAAGTAGCCATCAGCTGTCAGACAAATAAAATCCTTAAGAGCCAAGTGATATTATTTTTAAAAAGTCTTTGCAATTCTTACATATACAGCTGCTTTTTTTTTTTTTTTCCCCCTTCTTTCTTCTCTCCTTACCTGTATTAGACCTGGCACAATCTCTGGTAAAAGCAGAGTAAGGGTTTCTTTAGATACTCTTTCTATGACTTTCGTCTGCATTTTGATTGCAGCCAGATTAATAGGGTAATCAGCAGTTTGGATAATTGGACAAAGAACTTTGATGCACTGATCTGGGCTAATGGAAGTGGCCAGCATGGAAGCAGCTTCTTCAGCAGATCTCACCACCTATCAAAAGAATAAGTAAAAGACATGGAACAGTGATTTACAAGAGACTGTTACTATGGTCTGCAATCTGGCAGTAATGGTCTTGAGCATAAAAATTTCCTACCAAGAGCTCTACAATATTGTAGAAGTACGTGAATGAAGAGCCCTTTGACAATCTGTTTACAAGATTCCAACTGTTGGACATACCTCACTAAAAACAAGACTCTTCCCAATATTCTGTGGCTAATCTGTGCCCTCAGCAATATGCATGTCAGTTTTTCAAACCTGCTTGTTGAATCGGATTTGAAATGTCTCTATTCTGCAATATCCTCCAATTACATATTGAAATATCACCACCTTTGTAAATCTGTACTTGTGTTGTCATTTGTTATTGCTAGTTATGTCAGTGATCACTGACAAGACATGTTTTCACATTCATCTCAAAACCACGTTTAATGACATGCCTGGATTGCTACTTCTAGAAGTCAGTCTAGCTGTTTTTCCTCCCCTCTGCGTTTGAAAGAAACTATGACAAGAGAGTACTTTAAGTTTGAAGAATACGCAGAACAAGCAGAACAAGAGCAATTAGGTAGGAAGTCCATAGGTACAGAAGCTCAGGATACAACATGGGCACAACAGAGAAACCTCACATCTGATCTTCGTATTAGCGCAGTTGTGGCATCTGCCATCTAACAAGACAAACCGCTGTACAAAATCAACTTCATAAAGTCCCACCTCTCAACCATGAACCTTAATGAAATCCAAAAGCTTGTTGTAGAGCTCCAGGACACCTATGTCTGGCTTAAGATGCTATACAAGGAAAAAACCTCCCTTCATTTACTCCTTGAAGAGCTATAATGACACATCATTGGTTGCTATGCCCTCTTGGACAGCACCCAAGGCAACTGTTGTTAGGGCTGATATTAAGCATTCCATAGCTTATAAACCTGCAGTTCCTTTGTGGTCTTGCATACCCATGTTAACTAGTAACACCTAAATGCTTGACTATTAAACAAATTACTTCCTTGGTAAGATCTGACTACTTTCTCAAACATTTTTTGGTCAGTTATTTCATTTTGTAATAATTTGTCATAACCTCAAACAAACAGAATAACCGATTACTAACCTCCTTATGAGGATCCTTATGCGCTTCTAATGTCTTCATGATTGTAAGCTCTGCATAATTCTTAAACCTTGCTGGCTGGTTTCTTAGAATTTCTCTCAGAACTTTCAATGCCAAAGCTCTAATTGCATGCTAAAGAGTTAATATTAAAATAAGTTATGTATCTTTAAACAGACACAGGTGATAACATTTGTTCAGCAGCTGGAAAAGTCTTTGATAATGGAAAAATATCAGATTATGCTCTACACATATATACAGTATGAACCTAGTGTTAATAAATAAAGCTAGGAAAAAAATCTTCAGTTTCTCACTCTTCTCAATCTTTGTGCAGATAATTCAGGTGACATATCATTAGCATGTTGCTAATTGAGTTATCTATGGTATCCTGAAGTTAAGTTGCAAACAATTTTACTCTTCACAAGTGCTGATAAAACCTTTAGCATCACATCATGCAAATACATTTTTGAAAACTTTTTTACAATTTTTTTTAATAAAAACCAAACATTAGTGTCTTTTTGATCCTCAGTAATTTCAAAAACATGGCCCTTGTAGAGAACAATTACATAGAATTCAGTCTCATCACAATGAGTATTACTGTATTTTAGAAATGTATTTTTAAATGCTTTGTCACACTTGATGTTTTGATATTCTAGACTCCACCAGTGGCTATTAACTTATAAGCTTTGAATCCCAGTGAAAAATGTTTCATTTAATCTATCATGTGGGAATTGACAAATAAGAATACTTGAGAAGGTAAGTATTACTGATGTCCTTTTCACCGTTTTGTATTTCCACATTTTTTGTTTTTGAACACTAACTGGAATTCGTACCCTTACTACAACCCATACACATTTCAAAGATACTGAAAGTAAACCATGTGCTTTGTTAACATTCTTAACTGGATTAATCTGAATTTACCTCTTTATCTCCAAGTGTTTCAAGCAGCAAAAGTAATATTGTTTTGAAGTGCTCATCCCAAACACCGAAAGACTCTTCCTGAGTTAACTTCATGAGCTCATACAGGGCAGCCTTTCTTTCCTCAACTCTCTCATTATGGTTTGACAACTCTTTCAGTAACTCTGCAACCAGATCAGAATGGTCCATGGGAGGCTCTGCCAAAAAGGAATACACAAACACGGTTCTCAGATCATCGCAAATAAACATTAGTGCCTGCTGTACAACTGAAGGATATTTTCTAGGATGGCTAGCTGGCTTTCTAGCTTTTATGGTTTCCCCCAAAATTTGTCTGCAAAAATTGCAATTTGGCTACTACGTTTTCAGTGCAGCCAACACTGATGAACAAGCTTACAATCACCAAAACAACCCTACAATGATATTGCAAAAAACCCTCTGTAAGCTAGTTTACTGCAAGAGTTTTTATGCTTGCAATACACAAAGTGGTAAGTGCTCTGCATGCTTTTAAATCTGATCTATACACAAAGCGCCACATTTCCCATATGACCCTTCCATCCACGATGATCATTTTGTCTTTTCTCTGTTAGTATTACAGAATTGCTTGGGACTTTTGTAAGCCATGGTTCCGCAGCAATAGCTAGGCTGTTAATATGAAGAGGGAAAAACAAAATACTCAAGAATGGTGCTCGGTACAAAACAGCTGAAATAGGAGCAAACCAAGGCCATTAGTCCCACAGAGATTCCTGAGAGCAGTCATTATGAGACAGCTCTGGATTTTAGTTTTGATTAGAGACGATTCCATGATGACGGAAAAACACATTAGGAACATGACCCGTACCTGTAAACACTGGACTGCAAACAGAGAGATCTGCAAACAGTTGAGAAACTTAAAAATGGTCTTAATGAAAATTAATTATCAAGTTGTTACCTTTATTCCATCATTATGCCCCATTTAGCCTTTAAGAAAGAAAAGCTTTTTTTCCCCCCGGAAAAAGGTTGAAAGTATTGGCATAAAGTGCAGATGTTCCTGCATTGCATCTTTCCTAAAATCATTCCATTTATTAACACATGAAATACATTCTCCCTAAAAAATTTTATTAGGTCATATACTGAGAAACCACAGCCCTCGAGCATCTTATGTTACTGTATTCAGTATTGTAACTTATAAATGCTGTACAAAGCACCTGTACAAAGAATGATAGAATGGTTTGGGTTGGAAGGGACCTCAAAGATCATCTAGTTCCAACCCCCCTGCCATGGGCAGGGACACCCTCCACTAGACCAGGTTGCCCAAAGCCCCACCAAGAAACAAGGAAAAGCTGAATACCACCTATCAAGTATTTTAAAATCACACATCAGTTACCTTAAAAATCAGACTGGTTTTGTACCCAACATGCCTATTAGCATTCTGTTTTGCATGAATAATCAGGAGCACAAGCACCAGAAAGCAGAAACTTTTTTTTCTGCAAGCGCTTCTACTGCCTCTGTATTAATGCATGCTTTGCAGACTCTCTAAATGGATCATTAATGTTTGCCTAAAGGACAGACTGAAATTGCATTAGGCAAGTTATTAATTAGTACAGATGAGCAGAATGGACAATCGCTTTTACAGAAGCAAGATCATTACTTTTATTACCAGAACTATTACACTTGTTCTAGCAAACTGTGAGGATTATAGCTACAGTAAATCCTATTTTGGGAAATGCATATTGACACATAATTAGCAAAACTACCCCTATCTGTTTGAATAAAGTTATTTTCACTGTGGAAGTATCAGAATAAAAGAAGTGGCAACTTGAACGTATGGAGGGAAGGGGTAAAGAAAAGGTAGCCGTGTCCATGCAGGAACAAGGGGAGGAAAGAAGCTCCCTTACTGGAGGAAATAGCTGGAATTACTCCAAAATATGAAGACAACCAAGAGGGATGTGACTTCACAGCCTGTATTTTCCATTCCTCTGTATGACTTAGCACCCTGTGTTTCATTTCCAAACATTTTCCAGATAAGAATGGAGAAGCGTAAAAGAGGTCATATTCAAAGCCTACTCTCAAAATTTCTTTTTCAGAAAGAAAACAAAACACAAATGAGGAGGAGCAGACATAACTCCTTCATTTGAATGACTTACAATATGCATTGAGATATAAATATTTGATGAGGAACAGCTCTCCTCAAACCAATCAAATAATATCCTTTTGACAGGATAAACAGTATAGGGCTTAAAATGTAGGTATGTCCTGAATTTAGTAAAGATTTTCCTACTGTCACCCATACCATCTTAACACATAAGCTACACAAACATGATGGCCAAAAAAGCCAATGAAGCAGGTGCAAAACTTGATGAATCATTTGCAGGTGACTGGACTATAAATGGCTTTCTATTAATTGAGGAGGATAAGAGCGATGTGCCTGCTCAGGTCTTTGCAGAGCCTGGTTCTGTTTGATGCTTTTGTTAATGCTATCGAAGGAATATGGAGACCACTTATAGAATCTGTAGATGACATCAGTTTAAGAGCAGCTGCAAACATTCTGGAGAATAGGATAAAAATTGAAAATTGTAATGATAAATCAGAAGAATGTTCTGAAAGAAAAAAAAGATGGTAAGTGTAAGGCAAGATATGGAAGCAGAAATCTTAAGCCCTTATACAAAGTGTCAGGTAAAAAGGAAGATGTTTGCAAAACACAGTCCATGGAAGTAAACTGAAATAAATAAGCTTCTTTGAAAAGGAACACTTTTTCAACCAGAGACTGTGGACTGCTTCTACAAAGTCTGGAAGTGACTTAGAAAGCCAGGTTTCCCTATGCTTTGGATAAAGACCACCTCCCTTAGGAGAGAAAAGAAGCGCTATCGGTTGGAAGATTTAGGCTGCTACTCTGAAACGTTTTCACTATAAGAGAAGCAGAGAAGTCAAATGGCCTTGTGGGGTACACTGTGGCATCTCCTCCACTGGACATTGTCAGCTGTTAAGACAAACCATCTGCAGAATATACGTTCATGCCTCAGTGCTGTTGACGGGACTATATGAGTAGCCAAGGTTTTCCCATCTAGCCATGTATTTCCACATCTTTCTCTCAGTAACTCATGAGAGAACAGCTGGGAGTCCAGTAAAAACAGGACTTTGTGTCATTAACAGGCAGCTATTCTATGGAGTTTCTGAAAATTAATGTCCAACGAGCGCTTCAGGTTTACGGGGAAAAGCATGCAACTCCTAACTGAGGAATTGCAGGCACAAAGTATTTTGCCAAGTGCATCTTTTTTTTCACGTAGACTTTTTGAAATTACCTTAGATGAAATTCCAAAAGTAACACACAAATGACAGAACGCACATTGTATAACTAAAAACTAAGGGCAAACACAGGAATGAATGCAAGTACTTTGTTAAGATCCGTTAAAGAGTAGACCTAAATAATGCACTGCACTCCTCTTCCAGCCAGAACAAACTAATGCTGGATGGGGATGCTTCACTCCATCCAGTCAATGAGTTTTTACAAAACCAGAAAATGCTGATGCAGCACAGATTGCATTAGGTGTAACGCAATATCCAGAAATATGTTGTCAGAAGGTATAAAGAGGCTTATCCCATGGAACAACAGGCTCCCTGTAATACAGAATCTTGATCATAAACTGGCTCTGTACCTGGACAAAGGTATTTAACTATTGATATTTACATGACATGATTTGTAAAAAATTTGCTTTCCCCTCTATCTTTTTCAGAAGATAATTGGCCATATGCCAAACAGAAGAGAAAACAAGAAGAAATGCACCTTACTTGGATTTGCGTTTAATTTAATGTAAACTTAAAGCCAACTTACAGAATAGCTGAATAAAATACCATGTCAGAAAATAGCTTTGGTTTTCAACAGTTTCTGTAACAGATCTTTGCTGGATGACAGAAGCAAAACAGTCAGGAGGGGGAAAATTCATTTGTTCCTCACTATTAAGAAATTTGTTTACTTAAACCCTGATTTTAATCTATAACTGAATATGAAATATCAACAATAGTGATTATCAGATTATGAAAACCACCTACTACTTTTCAAAAAGAATGACAGTAGTGATACTTGGGAACCTTCCCAACATTTAGATATAAAAAATTACCCAAAGATATATTGAGAAATATTAAAAAAAGCTCTAGAAGCCTACAAAACAACAGCCCACATTCCTAGAGTTATATGGGCTAAATGAACCACCTTCCTGGTAAAAGCTAGTTTTGGTTAAGGGTTTTTTGTTTGTTTGTTTTTGTTGATTTTTTTTTTTTTAATGTTTAGTCAATAGAAAATGCCAATGTCATGTTTCAAATACAAATATATTACTAGCAAAATACTTAATCTTTCACTTAATTACCAAACTGGTTTGATCCAGTTTTACATCCTTGCTGTAAATCTTTTTCTCCCTTTAAATTTTAATCATAAAGCAATCTGGTAAATAAATTTATATTGACAATACTGCTCAGGACATGCTACCAGATGCATACAACATAGTTCCATATTTGTCTCATTTTTACCCTTAATCTCTACAAATACCAAGTAATCCAACAACATCACTAAAGAGGATTACTAACAAAGAAACTAATTTGAAATACAGCATTTGTAAAAACCTCTCAAAGAAGCGGCGCTGGTGATACATATATTGCTAATAATAAATTCAGAAACTGAACCATAAGATGGAAAATCTCACCATTTTTCTTCTAGCACAGAATGCAATCTGAAGCTTACCATCAGGAAATTGCTCTGCGTCATCATCAAACATGGCTTCTTTCAAAGCAGATTTATTAAACGAACTGATACCATCAGAATAATTGTATGGGTTATAATCACGTGAACGTGGCGAAGAGTGGGGAGGCATTGTGTTGAGTAATGATGTTTTGTTATCAAGAGCTGTTCGGCCTGTATCGCTCACACCGCTTCCTGCTCGTAGGTCTACTATTCCAGAAGCACTGCAAATCTGCAGGAAAAGAAATATCATACGAGCATATGAAATACACACTTACACTTTTCAATTAATTACATTACTAATTCATCTATGTAGCAAAAAGTTACAAATTTCAGAAAGTTTACACATTTCAAAAATTTCAAACTAGCCTTCAAATAACAAGTCTTAGAAACAGTTCCCTAAACTTTGCCTTCCTTCACCAAAAAAAAAAAAAAAAGGAAAGTTAACATAGCGCAAAAAACTTCATGAACTAGAAATAGCTGTCAGGATTTTATCTCAGAAGTTTGACACTAAGTAGTTAAAACCATGTTTAGGTATAAACATATTTGGCAAGCTCAACAAATCTGAAGAGCCAGAGTTCCACAGAAACAGAAGTTTAAAACATCGCATGTAGCACTAAAAAACCCACAGGTTTTGTATGGAATAGAATAAAAACTTTGGAAAAACATGTTTTTAACATGTTTTTAAGATGCAGATCTCTCAAAAACTGAACTCCAGCTGTTTTGCAAGATAACCTATTTTTAAATTGCTAACATTTTCAGTAAACAAAGCTAGTACTACTTAGAATTAGCATTTAAAATTCAAAAAATGTAGTTCAAAACTAGGAACATATTTTTCTAAAGCTCTGAAGTAATTTAGGAGAAATTTTTCAGAAGTTGTAACATATAAACCTACTGAAAAAGATGCGTTATCATCTGTAATAACTCAGTCATGGGCTTGGTTTGCTATCAAGATGCACAGTTTAAATACTCACTGCATCACCATCATCTTTTTTGGAATCTCGTTTTACAGGCTCATTCATATCTTCCTGACTACGAAAACTGAAATTCTGAATGGCTTCAGTGACTCCACGAAGAGAGCTGTAAATATCTTCAGAATTCATATTTTCAGTGTCATAGTCAAATGCACTGCAGGCCACAGAGAAAGACATAAGGAAGTAACATGGATTTATTTTGTGACCCCGTATTTTTAAATAACATTAGCAGTTAACTACAGACACTCAAGAAATATTAATAAAATTATTAATGAAGGAAGAAAGCTGGCTCTCCGCATAACAAAACTGTATTATTGTACATCTTAGTAAGTGTACTGCCACTGACAGAGAAAGCACTGGGAGTAGCCAGCTAAGGGAAGGGCTGCATTATGTAGCAGCATCTGCCTGAAGAAACAAAAGTCTTTTGATCTGTTTTACTCTTATAAACAACTGGGTTTTTTACACCATTCGCTTTCCGAAAAAAGTTCCAAAGTAAGGAGGACTGATAAAATCAACAGTTTTCACAGTAAGTTGATTCCTAAAAGCAGAATTACAAACCCCACTTTGCTGGCAACATTGGTACCACAAAATAAAGACCACAATGTTTATGTACTACTAGTTTTTCAGTCTCCCCCTTATTAAGTCTGGTTTGATGATCTTGCTGACCTATTCTAACATTTCCTGGAGACGACCACTTCCATTCCTTCTCTTGCTAATCTATTTGCACTCCAAGGTGCACAGCCCCTTCCCACCTCAGGGCAGCCCTGGCACTTGTCAGACCCTTCAGGGAGGCTAAGCAGTTCACTGTACTGCCATTCCATGGAGGGAGGGGGATTACTTTTCAGCATCTGTCACTTTGTGTGAAATTCCCTCCACGCTTTCGCTGTCAGGGTTACAATTTTGGAGAACGTGCAATGTAGCCTTAGATGCAGAACTGTAGCAACACCAGCCTACGTTACCTTGGTGACAAAGTGTTCTGAGATGTATTGGTTGGGGAAGTGAGAGGACTTGACCAACTTGCTGGGGAGCGTGGAGTAGGTCTTGTTAATGGACTTCCCATTGATCCCTGGAGGACAAGAGGTGAGAAGAGATACTCCAGTAGGACTTCAGTTTCCCTTTTAACTTATTACTGTATTTATTTTCTAGTGCCCAGAAACATTTAAGGAGTTTCTATTTAATTTCTTGGATTGGCTAACCAATTACTAGCAATTTCAATCAGGTATAACTTTGAAATGAGTAAAGTAACAGATGAACTATTCTTAAAAAGCACATTCAAACTTATTAAGTCACTTGGAAGCAACATAGAAAGTATCATTCTTTGGAGGGGAAAAAAAAAAAGGCATTCCATAAAGAGTGATATCTGCTGCTAAGACTTCAACATAGGATTTGGGTTGCGTCCCTTCCTCTACAAACCTTCTTGCTCTCAAAATAAATACCGAAATGGACTTATGTTCAAAACACCAGCAACTTCACAAAGGATAGTAAGAGAGGTGCAGATACCTGACCACTGTTGCCTGTATTCCGGAGATGATTATGGAGAAGCTTTGTGGCTCCATCCTGAAATGTTTTTGGTAAAGCACCCAACAGCATTGTAAACTCTGGAGTGTTGAGTTCAAAAAGGGAAATCAGCACTGACTGTGCAGCCTAGAAGAAGAAAACACAGATTGAAGACATTAATTTGAGTTTCTAGAGTCATTTCACCAGCAAGAGACGCTACAATGAATGGTAATCACAAAACGTGACTTAAGTCTTGACAGGCTTGAATAAAAACATTAACAGATATGAACAAAAGCAATTCATATTTGCTGGTAAGCTGGGAGTTCAGATATTGATAAATCCAGGCACACAACAAGCAGCTTACACTTTGCACAATCATTCTAACAAGCAGTCTTTCAGAAATGTCCTCCTGAACACCCCCCCAACTCCAGATCCCTATGTACTAAAAAAAAAAAACCACCAAAGGAATTTGCAAAACAGCTTTTAAAGAGTTTAAGAGAGCAACGGAACACACCAGGCAGGAACAAGCCTGAAATTCCTTCTCCCGAGTTCTGCAAATAGTAATTACACATCATGGATAATCTACACACTGGCTTGCAGTTATTGCTTTAGAAATTGAAAACAGCAAAACAAAAAACCCCGGACACCCTGATTTGGAATGAGACAGTCTTGATTCTGAGTCATGATCACAGCACTTCTTATTCTTTATAACTTATCCTACAGCCAAACTAGTTAGGTAACCTTCCCCCCCTCCTGCCCTGTTTCCTTTATCTTTTAAAAAGACAGGCAAACATCACGAGGAATAATTTAGCTGACTACATATTCTAAAGATGAAAGCTGTTAAAAACAGTAATGTAGTCAGTTATATTATTGGAGTTTACAATTTACTACACCCTCAATTTTACCAGTTCATCTTTAACGTCATCCTCATCCTACACCATGCTTTACTATACATATCAAAATCAGAGCTCTTTACTGAGAAAGCAACACAGTAAGTTACACAACAGTTGGGTTCCCTCTAGTAAAGGAATGTTGACAGGATGACTTAGTAATGTTTGATGAATATTCACTAGATAATCTAACAAACCTGCCAACATAGCAACTAACCTAACACATGCTAGGCTAGAGATCAAGAACTAGAGATTAAGTTCTCCAGAACCGTTTAATAGTTTCTTTGTAGTACAAAACTCTGATTCTAAGATTAACCAACTATGTCTAGTTTATACAGCTCACCATCAAGGTCTGCCATGCACTGGAGAGAACCAGTGCCTCATGCTAGACAGAATGATAGGCAGCTTGCTTAAGCAGCAATATACTTCAAGCAAGCAGTTTAGAAAATTCTTTTAGACATTTATTTCCCTCCTTTTGCTTCCAGAGCAATGAACTGTAGCATTTTTTAATTAAAAGTGGAAAGCCAAGGTATGAGCACACATACCAGCACACATCTTAGTATGAAGTTTAATGACAAAAATACTAACATGTCAGATTGCCACAAATTATCTTTGCACACTCGTGACTGGCTGTTTTCTTGAACTTTATTCCCTTCTCCCTCTGATAGCCTTCCCTTCAAGTGAACACCCTGAATGCCCTCTACAACCTGTCTTTAATGTTTCTCTTTTCCTGTTATTTCTTATGGTCAGTCTTTTAAGAGAAATTGATACAAAGCAAAACCAAAACAAATCCTGCAACTGAGCAAGGGCTTGGGAATTACCATTTTCCTTTTTCTCTCCTATTATCCATGTCTTCACTCCATAACAATAGGCCTATTTAAGCTGCCAATAGAATAACACAATAGACAGTCCAAGGTCCTATCAGGAAAGAAACAGATACCTTCAAGTCTGCCCAGAATGAAGCCCAACCTAAAGCATCAAGATTGATATTGACTCACAGGAGGTTTCCAACTATGCAATTATCTATTTTTTTCCTCTCTTTCTTGACAAAAGAAAAAAAAAAAAAGGCATTTTAGAGTATTTGGAGGTGTTCTCCTCAGCAGAAGTTCTCTCTCTTGAGATTTAAGCCCAGTCATACAGATAACATCTTTAAAAGTCTGCAAGAAGGATTAGAAATATTTTGTTTTCTTAGAACTCTAAGAGTCATCTAAATCTTTTCAGAATTCTAATCTTAGAAGAAATCTAAGTTTTGAAACAGAATTTTACCTTCCAGAAAGAAGTCACTGAACTGTACTAAGAGTGCCTAACTTAAGACTAACAAAAGAAAAAAGGGATTTTTCATGATACTTAGCACGGGAAATATTTTTACTAAAAAAAAAAAACCCCAACCCCAAAACCATCAATTGCACAGAAATACACTTGGCAAAAACTTTTAATTTAAAGAAATCATACTAAATGCTATAAGCTTATTAAAATAAATAAAATGAAAAAAGCCAGTGACAGCATGCTGTGAACTCTGTTAAGAGAATGAAACATTTCATACAATCAGAAAAACTTTTTGACTACTTATTGGTGAAATTTATTTTCAGGACTTAAAGGCTTTTGGCAGGTAGCTGCCTCTAACGACTATGTTATGGAAAGAAAAAATAAAAATTCATATAATTAAGGTGTTCCAGATGATAAAACTCACTGGCAATACTTTCCACGATTCAGTTACTTATTGACATAAAAATACTTATTAGAGATATGAACCATCAGATAAGACAGCTTGCCACGTGTCTTAGTACTAAAACTTTACTGATGTAGAAGATAGTGCTGCTTCAATTCCCCTCCTGTTTTATGGTCTTATATATGTCACTAGAACATGGGACTAGGCAAGTAAAGTCCATAGAATATAATCTATCATGCTTTCTCACTTATGTAACTTACTGTTATGTAAGTGAAAGACAGAAACATTATCTCCATTATAAAGTCTTCTATGGTTTTTTTATTCCAGATATCAAGAAGTTGCAAAAATTAATTTATTTCTGTTCACATTACACACTTTGTGAGACAGCTCCCACTATTTTCTCTCAGTTATCTCCCACAAAACATCCCACCTAAAGAAAGGAAGTTTTGGTATTGTTTCCAGAAATGATGACGTTGCCAAAACTCAAACTGAATTGAAAACAGCAAAGGAAATCTAAACAAATAAGTTGTTCCAACTCTTCAAACTGCAGAAATAAACAGAGAAAAAGGAACAGAAGAGTAAGTTCTCTGTGTCCAAGATGCTTAAACTTATGAGTCATAAATATGATTATTTAGTATTCAAAAAAGCGTTAGCAAGCTGATAATGGCAGCCAAGACAGAATGGCTGGTGACAATCTGAACAACAAAACTCTATTCTATCAAACTACAAACAAAATTAAAATGCTCAAATATAATTTGCTTTCTATATTTGGAAAGACTATTTAGAAACTTCTCCCAAAGACTGCATTAGTACATTGCTCATGGTTATTCTCTATCCCTGGTATATCTACGTAGCTCACAAATATTAATTTTCACTTCACAATAGTTATGTGGAAAAGACAGATTTGCACTGGAACTGCAGCATTACAAGAACAACCCTTTGACACTACCTTCTTAAAGCACTAACTTGCTTTTCTCGAAGGGTCAACAGTTATTTACCTATCTTTTCTTAAACAGAAAGGAGTGACAAAATCCAGCAGAAATTGAACCAAGTCCGCTACCAAACTTACCATTCCTGTTACAAACTTGTAATTAGTATCACAGTGACTGGTCTCTGAAGTAATATTAAAACTGTATAGAAAATGCTGACTGAAGAGATTTTAATACCAGATAGTGCTCAAAAACAAGTTATTCTTTGTATTATTCAAGATAATCTCAACATACTAACATACATAAAAATACAACCTATATGGAGAGTTTCAAGATGTGTCAATTTTAAATTTTTACTTAAATATTCTTACAACATATATTTTTTGCAAAGTTTTACTTTGTCAATTCTGATACTTTATACAGAAAAATTAGGTGTGCTTGCTGAGAAGGATATAAAAGTATCTTTTCTCTATGAAAGAATAAGTTTGTTCTTAAAGAAAAATACTTTTTCTTTGTTTAGGCAAGAATTATTAGTTTCTCTGTTTGCCAAGATACTTGGAATACACTGCAGCTCTAAGCAAACATTAACAAACTTACCTTCCTAACATCTGAGCTTTTAGGTTCTGTGGTCCAGGTGATGATTCGAGACACTGCTAACCTAGTTTCACTTGAATTTACAAAATCTCCTGGATCCATCTGTTGGGCAAGAGTCTCTATATATTTAAGGATGGCAACTTTGACCTGCAAAGAGAAATAGAGTCAAGTAGACAATAAAAATGGCATGCTGCAAGAACAAGCGTACTAGATTAGAGTGTTCATTCCCTAAAATAAAGATGATTTTTTTTTCCAATTAAACATCTTTTCAGCATCGATATAAAACTCTATGCAATAAATCGATTTACAAATGGATACAACATTTCAAGAAGGGAATTACTGCACAGCAATTCAAATTATTAATAGAAATCTTAGATTTCACTAGCAACTAGCAGATACAGAAATCATTGCATATGCAGAAGTTTATATTTAACAAAAAGAAAACCAAAGCACTCAGAATATTTAACAATATTCAGGATTTTAAAGAGTTATTCAGAATTATTATTACTTTTTTCAAGTAATAAAATGAAAAATGAACATCATCTGATGAATAATCTGTTCCTCTTAGTTCCTACCATGTAGTTAACACTCAGCATTCTTTTATAAAATAGCACAGTTCGGCAGTCACTATCTTTGGGGATAAGCCACACAAGTCTTCCCATTAAATACTAAAAAGGAATGGAATAGACTTTCTACAAAAGACTTAGAAGGGGTCACTTGCACACTTTTTTTGGGAAGATATTTAGAAGACGGAGACATAGATTTACAGGAGGATGGAAAAGCTGCTTTATTCTCTTCATTTATCTGAGCATCATTCTCCTACTCCACTAACTCCCTCCACTCCTTATGCAGAACTACCGTTTATACGTGCCAGACTGCAGCCTCTCTCTAGTTTCTGCAAAATTGCACCACTGCACAGCTTTGGGCAAAGGGTATTATGTCTCTGTCTCCCTTAGATATTTATCTGCTCAACTCCTGCTGCTCCAGGGATTTGTCATGTAACTTGCCAACAAAAGTGGTGAACATTTATTTAGGCCACCTAGTTGACTTAGCTGCTTTTATTTCCATTAATAATTATAATGAACCAGAAATACCTACCAGAAGGGAGACACCTATTTCCATCATAACCAAAAAGAAAAAAGTTCTGAGTGAATTTTTAATTGTTCATGGCTTGTAGTACAACTGTACTGAGCTAAGCTATCTAGAAATTCCCCTTGGTCATCGAAACTTGCAAGGTATTAAAAACTCCAGATACACTGACACACAAATTAGTGATAGCTGATGCATTGGATTAATAATGAATACTTCATTTTCACAGCATCTGTGAAAGCTCGACTTCTCCAAAGTTATACAACAAGCAACAGCTGGAGGTTTTCATCTCATGCGGATCAATATCAACAAATGCAGTAAACCCCACATTATTTGCCAGATTCTTTCCAAGGAAAAAAACCCTACAAACATCTCCGCAGCAAAGAAACTTTAGGCTAAATGGTTTTCCAAATACAAAGTAATTAAGTTAAAATTTCTAGATTACCAAGTGAAACTGTTATGACAGCACTATGTTTCACTGTTTATGATTTAAATATATATAGTATCACACCTTAAAAAAATTACTGTTAAGAACTGTAACACTTAGAACATCCAGAGGGATTTCTCACAGTGAAAAAATTCTGGAGTACTGTATTTGAGAAAGCAGTGTATTTCGTGTTTAAACAACTCCCAGAGTAAATTGCACAGACTTCTGGAAAGATGGAAGGTATTGGGAGACAGAAAAGTACCAGACAGAGGAGACAGAAAAGTACCGAACAGAAGATGAATGGAGAAGCTAATAAAAGCTAATAAAGTTTTTTTCACAGCGACACAGATACCCAAAGTTAAGTTTGACAGCTATTTTGAAAGAGAGTGTTCTCATAAATTCCTTTTGAGAGAAGAAATTCTGGAAGGGGTACCCTTCTATGCTCAAATATAACGCAATAGTATTATTATGGAAAAAAAAACCAACCTACTCTGAAGTAAATTCCATAATAGCACCAAATCTACTTACGATGTACTTTTGTCACTATTTCCAGTAAGTATGTACAGAGTTGAGATTTAGAAATAAAAGGTCTAACATAGTCCTCTTCAACAATCCATTTAATCTCTCTGAGAGAGGAGATAATTTTTGACTGCAATGAAAGCAGCTCCAGGAATTCTTACAATTAATATTTGCTGTTAATCTGAAACCACTGTCTATGAAATTGTTTAATACTGTCTTGACTTTCTTTGTACTCTTCTAGGTTGAATTTATTGTACTTTTGCTGGACTATAAACACTGAGACATTTTCCTGGTAGAGCATGTAACACAGACATTTTGTTTAAAAATAGCACTGCTGTAGTAAATGAACTGACATATAGATCAAGCCACAATTAGCACTATTACTCACAAAAAAGATTAGACATAAATGGAACTAAAGTGCTTCATAAACTTCTTTCACAGCTAATGAAATGACAAATTCTGGCACAAAAACATGTGCAACTACCTCCAGAGACTCAGGAAATCCTTTAAGGATACTACACAGTCAGTACCAGAAGGCAAATTGTTTTCCTGTCCTATGAAAAATCTGAGATTTACAGTTTCATTTGCTGCATCAGAGTAAGTCAAAAGAAACATTTCATGTAACAGGAAAAAAAGGAGAGAGGAACGTAGAGAAGCTGCTTTACTTAAGCCAGAAAAAATTCTTACAGTGCTTTTCTATGATGCGAGAGACTCTGCCTTACTCAGACTGAATACAAGCAATCACGCGAAGTGACTTCAGATTGCCACATCCCAGGTGCCTGTCCCTAAGTTACTGGATACTTAGGAGTGACTGCCTCTACCATTATTTAATCAAATGACTAAAATATACACTAAACATGAATTCTGAAGGGCACTCTCATCTCTGTGAATCTGTTTCATTGGTTGGTTGCTTGTTTTTTTAATGCAGAAATTTTAATACTTAGGGAAAAAAAAAGCTTCTGATCAACTGCAGCAAAAACCTTTGTCAGCAAATCAATATTTTCAAAGGAAAGAAGGGTTCAGAAACTTGTAATGAACTTTGATCACAATGCTTAAATCAATTCCTCACTGAGTGTAAGCCATTTGCTATACAACCTGAGAAAAATGAAAGTGATGATTTGAAGTGTGTTTCAGGACAATACCCATCCTTTGGAAAGCATATGTTCTGCAACTGTGAAAATAAGCTGAATAGATTATACTCTGTCTAGAAAATTTGACTTCTGTGCCCATCCATACATTTGACCAAGACAGATACATGCACCTGGTAACTCTAAACTGTGTTTCAGCAGTTCACCACACCTACAAAAAAATTATAGTGAAAGAAAGTAAGATAGATACAGCACAATACACTGTGCTGCATCCTCCATGGATTAGGTCAGCAGAATTATATCTTCTCTATATTTGGCTCTCTTACTGGCTAGCTATCCAAACCTACCTCTGTGGCCACTCTAAAAGCTTGACTTTTATTGTCCAAGACTTAGGTGTGTTTCTAAGCGTAAGAACAACAATGAGCTTACTCTAAAGGATCCTTATTTACTACTACCACATGAAAACCAGAGGGAAAAGTCATTTGTATAAGGGAATTCTTCCATGGAGCAAACTTCTGATCATCCCTTCTTATGTCTGACCATCTCTAAGGATGCTGAAAATGCTTTCTCTGATTTTTTCCTGCCACAGTGAATGCTGTTTCTCAGTCTATCTAGCCCAAAGGCACACTCTGCAACAAAATAATCATTTATCAGGGTAAGAACAAAAGCTGAAGACTTAAAAAAATGGAGTAGTGCCCTAGGATTATCAATTAACGTTAGACATCTGGGTGCACTGAGGATGGGATTTAGACAAAATATTCAAGAACGCGGATATTAAATAGATACTTCTGCAATTTATGTTCAATAACTTTACTGTATGGATCCTGAAATTGTAGTTACCTCATAAAGATGGAAGTAGGTAGATACCACTTTCTCTGGAAGAAAAGCTTACCTTCTCTTAAAGAGTTAGATACTTTACTGTCCCAAAAGTTCATTTTAAATACTCTTGATTTTATTTCAAACTAACAGGTGTTGTTCTATGGAGGTAGTTTTTACCAACATCTTGATTTCAGAAGTCTCTCTCAAATACGGGAAATTATTTTCAGAATGCCTTCCCATTACATGTTTCAGATTTCTTAATTCCTTCTACGTCGCATCCTGAATATTCTTGAATTTAGCCCCAACTCAGCCTAGTAGCAGTCCAGGTCTCATGCCAAATCTACACTCTCAACTTTGAAACATGATTGATATGTGTTTACCAGCTATACTACTATATGGGGGGAAAAAAAACCATCTCAACCATCAAATTCACCTTCCTGGGGAGGAAAACCAAGTAAAACAAAACCAAACCCAATTTGTTCCAAGGATTTATTTAAACAACAAACTGATTTTTACTACCTCATTTGCTGTCTTCAATAAATGACAGCAGTCCCTTTTTAACACAGCTCTACGAAGCAACAGTGGTCAACGTATCAACTGTCCTCAAAAGCTTAAAAATGTAAGTTTTACTGTATTGTAGACAAAAAAGGCATATTCATGTGACTTTAGGTTCAACATAACTTGGGAAAAGATATATTCTTGTGCAGTATCAAACTATGTAAAAATATTTCGTGCAGGACAGAGCAGAAAATGCCAGTTATCATATGCTTGTTATTTCCCCATTTACATCACTTGTAAGTCTTCTTAAGATTTGAAGCTTTTATCCTAAAATCAACTCTTTGGAACTGTAAATGTACTACAGAATACATTTTTACTTTTCAGTTATACTGGCAGGTCTATGGACTCCAGATTCTTATGTAAAAATTGTGTAATTATAAAGCTACACACTGCTTTCAGAAAAGTAAGCGTACCACAAAGGGAGTTGATTTTTAATATAGTAACTCAAGTTCATATTAATATTAAAATAATTTAAATTAATTCAAGACCTATCAGGCTGAACACAGGAAAAAAAATACATGAACTAGGAAAATGGGATTGGGAAATCACAAACATAAAATTAGAAAAGACTTGATAGAGTGAGTTTGCATAACCAGCTTGATGTTAGGCGGCCACATTTTTGTTGCTCATTTTTACTGTACTGTGGTTTTATTAGATCTCTCTTGCAGCAAACGTTTTCATACTAGTGTAATGTTTAAAATTGAACATCTGCATGCTTAAAGTTTCTCGCAAAGGTTAGTAGCAGCATACGAATGCATTCAAATAAAAATTATTGGAAACACTGTAAGAGTTTGACATAGGGTTAAGAATAAGACAATAATTCAGACAAAAACCTTTGAGCTCCAAAAAGAGCGAAGCTGGTCCTGTAGTGCTGGCTTGACTGTCTGAAAGTTTACAAAAACAAAATCCACTAATTGAAAACCTTTTTTTAACAGAACAAAAATAACAATCCAAATTCAAACATTAAGGCAAACGAATTGCTATCAATGAAGATTTTTGTTTGCAGTGCAAGCCCAAAAATTCTTACCTTCAGGCTAGGTGTTTGGGTCTGGTCAACAGTAAATCTCATTAAAATACTGAACTGGAGGTCATTTGGAAAAGATTCTCTGTTAAACAAACAAATCAAATCAGTTATGTGAAATTTTCTTTTAATACCTGTTGAAAGGCACTACATAAGCCCTCAATAATAACACAAGTAAGAAGGAATGATATAATGATATGGTAGTATTCTGATTCTAAAGCTATGCAACCCCCAAATTACTATGCAGTAGTACTGCGAAAGGTATACACCACAGCCCTCCTGCACGCTTCTCTGAACCATCCTGTTCCACAGCTCCCCTATGCTCTCCCACATGCCCTTACAGGCTCTGCTGCAGCAGCCAAAAAAAAAAAAAAAAATATAAAAGGTGTAGCAGATCATATTCCCTCTCTCCCTGCAAGACACACTGTATCATTCCCCAGATTTCACAGCAGATCTGCCACATGAATAGGTTCTGCAGAGACCTAGACCGCTTAGACTGTCCTGTACTTCACAGAATGGAGGATGAGAAGTAGGTCCCAGAGGCCCTCCAACGCTACTTAAAAATCTAGCTTTCATTTGGAAATAAAACTGGTCAGGGATGGGCAGCTCTGGTAGCCCTCAGAATCATGTAAGATCAGGCTATTATCAAAGTTTGGGGAGAGCGGAGGGAAGACAGCAAATCCGTTATTGCGGTAACTTCTTAAAAGCCTGCTGACACCGAGAGATGAATATTGCAACAATTATTTTTATATCAAAATAAAGAAGTTCAAACACAGGCACTGCATCACTGAATGCAAGGCAAGACAACAAACGTATATGGCTCAGATGTACATTTTGGAATCAGATAAGTAGTATCATTAATTGTTTGCCATTAAGGACTCAAATCCTTTCAACTAACAGTCATTTAGGAAACCAAAATGCTTAAGCAGCGAGGTTTACTCAAGTTTCACAATCTGTTATTAGCTCTGCATTTTTCCAAGAATCTCATACAACACTAAAAAATCCTAATAACTTGGAAGTAGCATGACGGTTTGGATTTTTTGGGTGTTGGGGTTTTTTTTTACTGTTTTTTTATTATTATTTTTTAAGAACTTGTTACCTTGTGACATCAAGTGCCTTCTGAACTTTTGCTTGTACGGATCCAAGCAAATCAGCACCCATTTTTTTCAACAGCTGTGTCAGGAGTACAAACAGCCAGTCCTGCAGATCTTCTTTATGGACCTGGATGAAGTCCACCAGCGTCTCCAAAAACATACTGAACACCTAAAAGGCAGAAGAAGATGGAAAGAGGGTAGGATGGGGCAAAAGAGGAAACGACACTGACGTATGCTGAACTCACAAACAAAGAAGAAAGCAGTAAGGGAATCAGAGGCAGAGAAAGGCAGTGTTTTGCAGCCAAGCAGGAAAAAAAAAGAAAAAAGAAAAAGAAATCTGTCTTGCTTTTTCGTTGGGTTTTGATACAAGAGTACATTGGAAATGTTAGCTGACTTCTGTAGAAGTTTGACAATTAGGTATTCCATGCAGTTTCGTCAAGAAAAGAAATGCTTACTGTGATGGCTGGCGCAACCTCAATTTTTTCAGTAAAACTTGATTTTTTTTACCCTTTCAAGCTTTATCATTAGGTTGATTTGACATATTCCTTGAAGACTACAAAAACACTTTCTCTCTAAAACCAAAAAAAGCTGCTACAGTTCTTTCACAAAATATTAATTGTAAATATCTGCATTACTAAATACTGAAAAATCATGAAAGCTGGCCAATTCCTTTACATAAAATATTTGTGGAACAGAAGAAGATTCTCCTGCTATTGTAGGTATCCAAACACAAAATTATTCACCAGAGTTGGGAAAAAACCATGACACATTTCAGACTGGCAGGTGTTTAAGACACAGATGTACTTTTGTCCTTTCAAAAACATGTTATCCATTGTGTTCTTTTCAACAAATAATGCTGAATACATTAAATACGAATAATGTTGAAAAGACTGCATTCGGTAAAAATTAAGTAAATATGTATATTATTGTATTTATAGTAACCTCAGTACTCAGATGCAAAGAAGGCTGGAGAGTTATTGCCTCCTGAGTATTTACGACATGGGTATAAGGTTGGAAACAGCTGCTGCAGAGGAATGGCTAGAACCCCACATCCTCCTGCAGCTAACCTGGCTTCTCGTAAGGCCAAATTCTGCTGCTGTCTGTGAGAACGGATGATCTCAAACTGTGATCATACCTCACACGGCTGTAGAAACCAGGCCACAGAAGCAGGCTTTCTTCCTCAGCACTGATTGAGTATGGAGGAGTTGGTGCATGCTGCTGCATGCCTTCATCGCTGATGAAATTAAATCTCTTTTCATGTTGATAATCAAGCCAGGGTAAGCAAATTCACATCGTAAAATGGAAAAATCCATATAGGTATCTTGAAAAGAAGTGCCTCAAAATTTACATTGGAAATAAAAAATAAACTCAGATTCTTTCAGGATCTAATAAAGACCAGGGAGAATCTTTTAACAGACATCTTAAATACTGAAATGCTGTGTTAGAAACAAAATAATACAAATCCTACTCAACATAAAGCCCATCTGGATGAGCCACTTTAACTTCCCTTTTGAGGCAAACTACATTGAAAATTCTAAGAATAAAAAAATAGTAATAAAAAAAAATTGCTAACTTCTCTAAGCTATCTGTCTAGATTTGTATTCAAGTCTGAGGTTTAAAAATTACCCTCCCAGTACTGGGAAAAAAATTTTTATGCTTGGAATTGGAAATAAGGCCTTCTGCATTCAGCTGAACTGAAACAATATACCACTTTGTGGATGCACAAGTAGTGGGCACAATTATAAGACCTAGGCAAAACCAAACCAAAAAGTACTTTCTGTATTGTAATATGAGAGTCTATGGATTTCACAGCCCTAAAAGAAGGGGAAAATATATTGGACTTAGGCAAATTAAAAAAATTCTGGTGCTATAAAGATTACACTGGGGGTCTTAGAATTGCATTTAACCTCCTTCAAATTAAACTATACAGCTCAGCAGAAGTTATCAACTGTACCTGTTTCTTTGAGTTTGCAAACACTGACACACACATCCTTTTTCATTAAAATGTGCAAACTAAACAAACTGGTTACAACCTCTTATTTGATGGAGTAACGCAGAATTCTTATGACACTTTAAACATCTCAAGTGGTTTAAATTGAAATCATTATGAAGTGAATTATGAGTCACTATGGCAGAAGTACTTGAAAGATCTTGTGCCAATGTTTAGCTGTTAAAAATACATGTAACTGAGGACTCAGTTTTGTTTTCAAGCTTTGATTTTAGGTTTACCATAGTGAATGTCTGGAAAAAACTAAGCTGAGTCATTTTGTTGTATTTTATTTTTTTAATAAAAAAATACAAATCATACCATTTTGTCTTAGGCCAAAGTATGAAGAATTTAAGAAGGCTGTAAGAGCATTTAAGGTAAAGGATGAATTTGGAATGGAAAATGGAACTCAACTACCTACATGTTGAACAATGTATGTGGTTACTGCGATTTTTGCAGTTTCCATTTTTATGATGTAAATTAAAATTCTGCAGTCAAGCACCTAAAGCTGACGTTTTTAATAACTTGATAGCGGAAAAAAATAAACAGGTATGAAAATAACTATGAGTGATCCATCTTTAAAATGAATTATTTCAGATGTGCCAACCACCAC